AGGCGTTCATCTGGACAGGCACTGATGTGAGGTCAGTAGCGTTCCAGGGCTCTGCCTGCTGCTCCAAGCTCAGATCAGCTGGGTTTGTAATGGAGCCAGAGCTTCCCAATGGGACTGAGGGGACGGGCTTCATTGTCCCCCCCTTAAACCACCTCTCCACCCCAGCTTGCCAGCAACAGCAGGTTCACAACTACTTGTGAAAGTCCCATCCAATGAAGCGGGATATGTGGGTGGCACCTTGGAGCAGTAAGGCCCTGGTCTTGCTCACACATATGTGGGAACTTATTTCACAACACCCCAGAAGTGTTTGCAGCAGTAGGGCCTAAGACAATTGTAAAATAGTCACTTCTTCCTGGAATAACCCGCCCCTGCTCCCATGTACACAGCCTCAGAAGCTGGGCCAATAACAGATATTACCTCACCCACCTGTTCTCCCTAACGTATGTCCTGATCCGCCGGATCACTCCTTCCTGTTAGCTTAGCATCAGAGCGTGGTGAATCAAAGGTGCTCTTTTGTAATTCTGTCCCCTGGCAGGAAATCCTCTGATCCATTCCCTGGCAAGAATACTAGCTACATCTACACTGGCAGCTTCTCGTGCAAGAACTCTTCCAGAAGAGAGCGTCTACACTAGCCTGTGCTTTTGCACAGGAGCATCCGTGCCAGTGTAGACGCTCTCTTGCACAAGAAAGCTCCGGTGGCCATTTTAACCATAGGGCTTTCTTGCGCAAGAAATTCATGTTGCCTGTCTGCACTGGCCTCTTGCGCAAGAACAGTTGCGCAAAAGGGCTTATTCCTGAGCGGGAGTGTCAGAGTTCTGGTGCAAGAAGCCCTGATTTCATCCATTAGAACGTCAGTTTACTTGCGCAAGAACACGCGGCCAGTGTAGACAGGCAGCAAGTTTTTGCACAAGAGGGGCTGCTGTGGCACAAGATCGCGCCAGTGTAGACACAGCCTTGGGGTGTTTTGTTAGTTTTAATAGGGACTGTTACTAGGTATTCTCCCCAGTATCCATACTGAACATAACTGGAAACTAGGGATGTTCAATTGCGGGTAATCAGCTAATTGAGTAGTTGATGGAATTTCCGTTGATGGGGGAAACTGCAGAGCCGGCCCTGGGAGCTAACCCCACTGCAGCTCTGCCTTTTAAAATTCATTAAGAGCTGCCAGGCTCTTAATACGTTTAAAAAGCATAGGCACAGCAGGGACCAGGCGCAAGCCAGCTGATTCCCGGCTCGTACCCAGTCCCTGCTACGCTTCTGCCTCCTCTGCCCCATCTGCCCCCGAGATGGTGCTGGAGGGAGCCGGCTTAAAATTCGGCTCCCCAGCACTGACTCCTGCTCCCCCCGCCTCGCTGTCTCTCTCTGATAGAGGCAGCATGGGGTGGGAGGGAAGAGCGACTAGTTGATTCACTACTTGACTACCCAGTAAGTGCATGCTTATCAGGGAGTCAACTAGTCACGTACATCCCTACTGGAAAACTCCGTAAAAAGGCCCAGATCCTGCCAACACTTATGACAAGCTTCACTAGATTTCTGAGAGTGCTCAGTGAAGTGTTTGCAGGATCAGGGCCCATGCCCACCTGGCTCAATTAAACCGAAATCTGGGTGCCAGAATTAGTTCAACCCCCCTGACAAGTCAAACAGTAACTACATCAGCCTGACCAACAGACAATGGAAGTTTCAGGTTTTCCCACCAGGAAGTCAAGTGCAACCTGACTTTCCACCTCTTTTGCCTACAACTGAGTTTTCCCCATTGCCAAATGTGATTAAACTAAAATGTCAGATTTTTTTTACCCTCAGCTCCTCAGACTAAAAACAGCCTTTAAAAGCATCTTTGGGGAGCCTGTGCTTTGATGCTGGATAAAGTTTCTCCAGCTCTGATGGAGAATTCCCAGATTGACTTGGGGACAACAGAAGGGGAAAGACAGGGGGACCCTTCTATCAGATTTGGGGCCACCTCCTGCATGAATAACTCAGGGGTGCACCACTCTCCTGGACATAGGGGAAGTGATATGACCCTGTGGTGCCCTCGCACCAGGAATATTCTTGGCCTGGAGCTGCGTCCCAGTGTTCCCTGTAAGCCGAGCACTTGGGCAGCCACCCAGGAGAGATTCAAATGGTGCCGAGCTGATAAGCAGAGCGCCCACAGTCAGCAGCAAGTGTTTATATTGGCGGTGCACATGACAAAGTTTATTCTGCACACAGATGGAAAAATTAGAGAGAACATTGCTGGGCTCCAGCAAACCTTGTTGCCTGGCCCTGCATCTCCCTAACCCTAACCCAGTCCCACCTGCTGCCCCTGGGTGATTTAAAATGCTGGGGGGGGGGCCGTCACCAGTACTGGCAGTGCAGCGGGGTTAGGGTGCACAGCCCCCCAGCTGCAGGGATGCACGTGTGGGCAGCTGTGGGAATAAGCAGCCGGAAGCCGCTGTAGCCACACTGAGCTGCCGGTCCCCACCTTTCAGTGTTTTAACTTGCCCAGGGATAGCAGGCAGTCTGGGGGATACCTGGGAGGAGCCGGCAGGGTGGCAGGAGGGATGGGAGAGAACAGGCTACCACGGGGGCAGCAGCCACCAGTTAGCCTCCACTCCACCCGGCGCCC